GATCCCATTGGCCTTCTTGGCAGCCAGGGCACACTGCTGGCTCATGGTCACCCAGTCATCCACCAGCACACCCAAGTCCCTCTCCACAGAGCTGCTCTCCAGCAGGTCCACTCCAAGGCTGTACTGGTGCATGAGGTTGTTCCTCCCTAGGTGCAGCACCCTGCCCTTGCCCTTGTTGAACCTCATCAGGTTCCTCTCTGCCCAACTCTCCAGCCTGTCCAGGTCTCGCTGAATGGCAGCACAGCCTGCTGGTGTATCCACCACTCCTCCCAGCTTTGTGTCATCAGCAAACTCGCTGAGTGTATACCGTTGGTTACATCTGACAGTTAAATAGCCATAAGAAGCGACTGCTGCTGCTGCTTGCCGATGAACTGCAGAGCAAACCGGCTCTAGCCTTGAGCTCTTACTCTTGTCTCTTCAGCCCGCACTACCTCCCACCAGGCAAAGCCACCCTCCAGCTGTGTGAGCACCATGACCCCCGCTCTCCCACCACTGTCTCTTACACTCCCTTGCCCAATGCGAACACAAGTTGTTTTGTGGGGCCTTGTGGTGAACCCTACCACTGCAAGCACCTGGCCGGAAAACCACCCCTTCTTCTCCCGCTGGCACCGTTCACGGACAGTCTGGAAGCAGGAGCAAGGAGCTGCAGTAAGGTACGGGGCAATACCATCACTGCACATGCACTGTGGACTAACATCTTCATCGTGCTGTTCCTTCACACTGACTCCTGCTCAGTGCATGATTACTTAGAGCAGCTTGAGCGTTCGTGATGCAGTGTGGATGCTCAGAACAGTTATGAATAAGCCCCTACGCAGATACACCAAGCTGCCTTTACGTGCTCCAGACTTCCCCAACTGCCCCTCCCTGCATGGATACTGGAGCTCGTGCTGCCCCAAGTGCACCTAAAGCCTGAGTAAGACTCTTTCACTTGCCAGGGTGTTGTTTCTCCTTGATCAAAACGCAGCACTGTTCTGTCAGTCTTCAGGAAAAAAACCCAACAGACAACTAAAAATAAAGTATGATTGAACCAAGATGGAAAATGTTTGTAGCAGAAGGAAAATCAGTGAAGAAACCCCATGACAGCTCAGACTGAGGACTAATTCTTCCTTTTTTCCAGACGTGTAGAGCACTAAGGACTAACCATCGACTGTTTTCCTCCATTACTTGCAAATGGAACTTTCAGATGCAACCCGAAAACTATGCATTAGGCTATCACAAACCCTTCCATTTATCCTCTGTGGGCTGCAGATCTGCTGATTCAGACGGCTCCAGTCTGCTCCTCTAACCACTAACCCCGTCCTCAGTGGCTGGCACACGGCACAGTACGCGGGAAGGAGTGACGCCGCGGGCAGCTGCTCGGCTCCCCGCCTTCACAGGACACGTGCTCCCCCGTTTTAACACTGACATCACCCCATAAACACAACGGCTAACCTGAACGTGTTGACAAACAACTTCCTAATTATGTATCTGCCCAAACCCCACCTACAGTGGGTGACCAAAATGCAACTTTAACAGCAGTTAAAGTTAAAGTTAACGGCTATTGATGCTTTGCCCCCAGTTCTGCTTCTGTGCTTTGCCGACTGCTTCTGGGAGAGCGTCCCACCAGCAAACCTCACCCCAAGCGCACACTCCCCACGACGCCCCGTCACTCGGCGCAGCACTCGCCCGGAGTGACCTTCAGAGGGGTGGGAAGGGCACTGCTCGCCCTCCGCACCCACCTGGGACAGCCACAGCTTCCCGGGGCAGGGCAAGCGGCTCCCGGCGG